TATTCATCCACAATAATCGTATAAATGAAATCCAAAAGCCTGAATTATTCATCCGGAATAATCCTATAAATGAAATCGAAAAGCCTGAATTATTCATGCAGAGCATTCCTATAACTGAAATCTAAAAGCCTGCATTATTCATCCGGAATAATCCTATAAATGAAATCCAAAAGCCTGAATTATTCATCCACAATAATCCTATAAATGAACTTAAAAAACCCTGAATTTTTCATGCATAATAATCCAAGAAATGAAGTCCAAAAATATGAATGAAGAGTTAATTCATCCAAAAGATGCAAATTGGTACTTACATATGAATAACATTGTAGAAAGGGTCACACCCTGTGGTTCATTATCTGAAAAGTTTTATCTATCGTCTATCAAGGAAAAACCTCCAAAGTATGTATAAACCCTACATATTTAGGGTGTCTTGTTATTGTGTCTATTTATTTGAGTTAATTTTACGATTGTATCAGGATGAAAAAACTGTGAACTTTATGTTTTTAGAACAATATGTGAATCAACAAGGTTGCGTCAAGAATAAAGGAGATGCGTACTGAAGTTAATCACAGATTGGTCTACGATAATGCCCCTTCGTGTTTGTGTATTGTGGTTGTAGGAAACTATGGGGATCGGGTGGTCAGACTCGCTGACCTCGGTTGACACATGTCATCGTATCCCAATTGCGCATGCTGCTGATCACTGGATTGTCTGGTCCTGACCACCGCCATGTAGCTAGAATATTGCCGAGTGCGGCATAAATTAAACTCACTCACTTGTGTATTATTGTTGCTGATTCTTACCTTAAGATAATAAATAACAATCCTTAAGTAGTTTTACAGTCAAGATCACCCCGCAACTGGGACATGAGTTTGCATTTGATATACATTTTGAACATACATTCCCGACTAAAGCTGGGCTATTCAAATTCACACAAAACGGACAGATTCACTTCATCGTGCTCTTGTGACGCTCCTCATGAAAAATAGCCTTCGTTACTTACGTGTCCACATTTTATTATAACAGTATTCGCAAATAATCTGTATCTGTACACATCGGAAAACAATTTTACATGGTCATGTACTGGAAAGCACAACAAAATAATTCAATGTATACTGGACAAAAATAGTTAGGGATATATGTAAATTATGAATAATGATCTATTTATTCATGGACATACTGATAAAATATCAATCATAAAAATACCAATAACTTATTTTGTCCAGTATACTTTAATTCAACTCAGAATCTGGTAGATTAAATCAACCAATATGGACTTACACTTCTGCAATTTACTTGTAATCTAATGATTATGTTATTGCTTAACTAAAAGTATTGAACTTATATTTAATGGCAGAAAATAGTGTCTTTGCATTTGCAAATAATGTAATGTGGCATTAAGATATGCTTTTGGCTTAACGGCCAATCCATTCATTCAAGACTAAATATGTTTAAAACAAAAAATCGTATACATTTTATAGATTTGTAGAGAATGATAACGACAAGATTGTCCAATCAGAAGTAAACCCAATCGTACCACAAATAAATACACATTGATATAGAATAATTCTTACTGAACTAAATGCTGCAACATAATATCCTTTTGGGGTTTACAAGAATTGATATGATAATATATTATATAGTTCTAATAGCGTGACATTGCTTACAAATAGTGAAATGAAAGTATTATAGGCAAATTCCAAGTTCAGATACCGAAGCAAAATCTAGAAACTTCCTGGCTAAGCCAGGTTGACTTAATCATGTACTGAGTACATTTAAACTCCTTGTGTAAATGTACTCTGGCGTTCTCAGTTGACCATTAACCACTGAAGGATAAATCTGAATAAAGAAGTTGAAATATGACTGTTGAAATGGCATGAAGTGATATGTTTGGTTGTCTTTGTTCACGCAGGTTTGACTCGTTTGTGTACATTGAAGATAAAGATTTCCGAGTTACATGTACATGCACCTAGACTTGTACATGTATCTTGTCCCTGAAGCAATAAATGACCATTTCTAAAAAAAGAAATTAAAAAAAAGAGTGACAGACTGAGGTGTACTGTCCGCTTATCTTGCCTTGCCTCTGTCAAGGATAACGTTACGATACCTCCATGGGTTTAGCACTCAGTACAGCCTTGGAGCAAGGATACATGCAGCCGTATCTCGCGATTAGTTTTAACAAAGGTGGGCACATATATCACCTATATATTGAAAATGTTGAAGGATGTTTGTGTCTCTGCAAATGTTATTACTGTTTGGGTGGAATACGGGTAGGGAAGGATCAACTAAATCGATATGTAGTGTGACTTTAATGAAACCTGTACATGTTGCTTGACTTAGATGGTTGAATATGTGTTTCTACAGGGTCTCCAGAACGTAGTTCCCACATTCCGTTGTATAGTTTCTGTAGTGTATTGACATGTATGTTATAAACATATATGGGAGACAACTCATGCAGCCTTATGTGACGGTAGCGGCAAGCTGATTAGAGTTACGTGCTGGTAGCCCCCTCTTCCTGAGTAAACGCTTAAAGTAGAGGTATAGAATTCAAATACACAGTGCCAGATTCAGAAAAACGTAATTTGCCCGTATGCTGTCCATATCCTCATCACTGACGGAAACGCAATCTGACTTCTAGCAGTAAAGATATTTGGACAATTGTGAAATTTGTTGTCGAAGGAGAGCAGTGAGAAACACTGTTTTTCTTTCTCTTACTGTGACACTGATGACATCGAGCCAGCAGAATCTGGGGAAATCACAGGAGTGATTGGTTGGTTGGTTAACGCCATATTCCAAGGTATATGGCTGCGGTCTGTAAATAATCGAGTCTTGACCAGACAGTCCAGTGATCAACATCATGAACATCGTTCTACGCAATTGGGATACGATGACGTGTCAACCAAGTCAGTGAGCCTGACCACCCGATCCCGTTTGTCGCCTCTTACAGCCAGCATGGGTTACTGAAGATCAGTTCCAACCAGGATCTTCACGGGTACCACAGTAATAACTTTATATTGCCTGTTCATAGTGACTGACACATCAAGGACTATCAATAACTTTTTTTTTTTTGCTTTTGCCGCAAGTAATTTAAAATACATTTATGCAGCAACGGCAAGTCAAGAAGGGCTTATTTCTACAGGTATACCGTAACAATAATAAACCCACATGTATTGATTTGATTTAAACATTGGGCACGCGTTATCCAACTTAATGACGCCCTCTCCCAATAGTTACAACAATTATATTTACATGAGAAACAGAGAACATATACATGAGAAATCTTGAGTTTGAGAATATAACAGATTAGGATGAACAGAGGAATCATTTAGTTTTATATTGATGTTATGATGGACATGTTTGAAGATATTCAGATTTTCTTCAACGAGAGGCCTGCATGGCCAAATAAAATAAGACATATATCTAGAACATATCTATTTTGTAAAATATCACTTATGTTAGCTGACAAAGTTTCTGCATGTGTTTTATAACGGGGACAATCCAAGAAATCTTGATATAAATTATATTGTTGATTCTATATAAATCATAATTGAGCGTACTTACTTTGTATCTTAACTTTGTGTGTAAAATATTTAGCTTACACATACCAGATGAAAAAGTGATGGGGCACTATTAAGCATTGTTGTAATATATCTATTAAATGACGAATGGAGTCACAGTTTCTTACAGCTGACGGAAGATTGTTTCAGGCTTAAATGAAGAGGATGAATATTTTAGTCTTGTATTGGGCACAGAATAATTTTCAGCATTACGCAAGTTATAATGAGTTCTTTTTCCTACACCCGGTGGTAACAATTCATTTAAAAAAGAGGGGGCGATATTATGTTTAATGTCATAAAACAAGCTTAATGTACGCTTCTTTCTTCTCACTGATAACAATTCCCATCCGGTCTCGTAATAAAGAACTCTACTCGGCGTCTATTTGGGTAGGCCAGTTACTATACGAGCTGTCTCTAGCTGTAGGCTTTCTAACTTGTTCGAATCTTCAATCAGACACGTCACATGCATATTCAAAATGTGGGCTTGTAAACGCTGTTTAAAATCTTGATAATGTTTCCTATTCAATATATATTTATATTTTCTTAAGGCACCAATCATTTTAGAGGTTTTTTCCACAGGTATTGAAAACAATGATCAGTGTGGTTTTACTTGAATGTGTGTTGCGAAAGCGTGTTTAAATTACACTTCTGTTTTCACGAATATATAGTCTCGAATTGTTAAAGGTGAGGTGAGGTGAAATTGGGTTTAACGTCGTGCTTGAGAATATTTCGCTCATATGACGATCGAATTGTTAAAGGAGGCAGCGTTGGGGTTCACAATACGAGATTACAATCAATATTAGATGTAATCTACATCTCTGTTGATAACCATTGCTTATGACTAGTAGTATGACAGATAACAGGTTTTACCCTCTTATCTTTGAATTGTATTTCAAGGCTTAGGTTCACGTTAATTGATTTATTTGTTTGTTTTTGTTTTGTTTTTTTAATGCCGCACTCACCAATATTCCATGCAGCTAATTTCAACCAAGTCAGCGAGCCTGACCAACTGGTCCCGTTAGTCGCCTCTTATGACAAGCGTAAGTTGTTGGAGGCAAATTCTAACCCGGATCTTGGCGGATATCTTAAATGATAAGCTACTTATGTGCATCAGTACTTAAAGGCGATCGTTGTCTGGGTTTAATTTCTCCATGTTTCTCATATTATCAACCACTCGGAGTCAGTAGAATGAGTTTGAGTGGGTATTCATGCTTAACAGCGGCATGGTATCTCAGTGAGCCAGCACTATAAAACCAGCTTAAGTCTGGGCTAGTACAAGCAGCCCCACATACACACGCATGTACGTGGTCATATGAGCGAAATAATCTCAAGTACGACGTTAAATCCCATTTCACCTCAGACCCTGCCCTCCTATCAATGGGTGAAGAGAACACAACAGGCGGTCGCAATGAAGAAGTTCCCACCACCAGCTAATGGCGCACATAGTCAGTTAATTCGCTATTTCATCGCTTGGTAGATGAGATCCTTCTTTGTGTCAGTCATGTTGATGTCCTTCCCGCTGATCAGACTCATGGACGTAATGACGCCAGACAAAAACGCCCCAACACCGAACATGGGGACGAGTGGCTCATTGAACTGAACATTACACTTGTCTAGAACAACCTGTCTGTCCAGGTCGATGAATGCCACTCGTCCCCTCCCCACATCCAGTACAACGCCATAGTGGAGGGTGGCCTGTGTGCCGGGAGTGTTGGACATGGTGTTCTGGTGACACGCGCCCTGCTCCCCCTCCCTCCACACCGTGGTACAGATACTCCCCCCGTGTCTGCCACAGCTCTCTACACAGACACACCAGGAGCGGCGCTGTAGAGAAACATACGTCTTACTGCCCACCTGTCCTGCCTCGCACAGTCCCATCTCCAGGACTGTCGGGTCCCTCTCACCACCCACCCTCACCCTGGTTTCTGTCTCCCAGTATCTGGGGATGGTGGGTAGGGGTGTGAGGGTGGAGGAGGATGGGGGAAGGGGGATGGGGGAGCTACAGATCCCCCTGTACTCCAGTAGTCTGTTCTGCCCCGCATGCGCTAAGACGTTCCGCCAGTACTTCTTTCGTCTGTTCTGCCCCTCATCCCATGCTTCGGGCGGCGAGTTGACTAGATGGCCGTCAGTAGTTACGTGGCACCAGTAATTGTTGGCCCGTGCCGCGTCCAGGTGGAGTTTAGGACCTGGAAATAAACATTGTATTTGTTGTGTAGCAAGTTTATTTCACTGTTTGTCACAAACCGAGACACAGAAAGATATTTACTAAAATATCGGCAGATTGTGGATTGTTTCCAAACAGTGCGCTGAATGTCCGTCTGTGTTTTTCATCAGTGTAGAACATCTCCTACTATTGAGCTATATTAGCGCACTAATTATTACGTAAAAATATCACTACGAGAATTCAAAATGCATTTCATTAAGAAACAAATGGATTAGTTTACAGAAAAACGTAATATAAAAGAAAGTTTAGTACACCTCTGATTTAACCCCATTGTTGTGATATCTGCCAGACGTGGACGATGTTCGGGAGTAAAATACGATCTCAGTAAGTGAATTTCTCAACATAAGTGTTTGTGTGTAGATTCTATATGAATCTGTCACATAATATAAACAAATAAACGTAACAGTGTCGTGTTTTAGGGTAGTTTTGACATTTCTGTGTTCATCATACACCACATGAACAGGTAACTTCTATGTCCGCTTCTGTCACGTTCACAGTTACACCGTCAGTCAGTGTGTCGCGATATGTTTACTAACGCTGGTCAGAGATAAATGTCCAAACTTTGTCAACTTTCTACGTTATTCAAGTGTTGAAAAAAGCAGTTCTATGGTTTTATAATTGTAATGACATCAGTCATGGTTTGGAGATTCAATTAACGCCGACAGATGTGTTTTACAGCAATGAAGACGGTTGAGGAAATAGCACATGTTTTACTTCGTTCTGTTGTTTGAACATTTCACTTTTATCAGGGATGGAAAGTTGAATAGGCTGTGTGAAATTAACTCATAACCCAATATATTTGAAATATATTTTACATGAACTGGTTGCAACTGTGTCCACTCTTTCACTGATAGACGGTCACAGTCTCGTTGAGCGAGGAGAGGTCGCGCAATGCGTGCGGTGAGGTGAGGTGAAATTAGGTTTAACGTCGTGCTTGAGAATATTTCACTCATATCAAGACGTACATGCGTGTGTATGTGTATGTGGGGCTGCTTGTACTAGTCCAGGCTTAATCTGATTTTATAGTGCTAGCCCACTGAGATACCATGCCGCAGTGAAGCATGAATACCCCACTCAGACACATTATACTGACTCCGAGCCGACCAGTCCTTGTTGTACCCATTAATGCCAAGCACCAGGCAGGGACCAACAAGTACCATATTTTAACGTCTTTTTGGTATGACACAGCCGGGGATCGAACCTGCAACCTTCCGCTCTCCGGGCGGACGCTCTAACCACTACACCACGGAGGCGGTCTGCAATGCGCGTGTGTGTGCGTATGTGTGTACGTATGTGTTTGCGTGTGTTTGGTTTGCCGTGGGTATTAATAGACCCTTACATGTGATATAGATGGTATACTATTTAGACAAAACATACTCGACTTTGCGAGCGAGCGAGTTTAGTTTTACGCCGGTTTCAACAATATTCCAGCAATATCACGAGAGGGGACACCAGAAATGGGCTTCATACATTGTACCCATGTGGGAAATCAAACTGGAGCCTTCAGTGTGACAAGCGAACGCTTTAACCACTAGGCTTCCCACCACCAGACCTGACTTTGACTTGAGGCCCGACCGCGACTAGAGCACCCGATTTTCGTTACTCGTTATTTGGTCTACAGAATCTATCTTTTGAACAATGCTTTGTCTATGAACACCATCGATACTTATCTATCTAAATGCGGATGATACATTATTGTTTTAGAAAAGTAAAAGTGTGCGAGAATTTTAGAATTATCAGCACCGACACTAAGTCTTTTAATTTGTTCAAAGTGAAAAAGTACCTGGTACCTGTAGAATACTTTCCCTCACTCCAGGGAAATATTATGATGTGGATACATTTATGAGACAACCGACGTAAGCCACAAGCTGGAATGCCATCGAGGTTTACGAAGTTATTTTCCTAAAACTATGGCACAACAATTAACAATTTTATTCTCTAATATTCTCATTTCTAAAATTAGTCGAAGTGGGCGGACATCAACACAAACTAAGTACGAACTAACGACTTTATTGTCCTGGCAAAACATTCCGAGAAATTATCGATTACTACGTTTCAAAGACTCTGAGAAAAAAGATGTGAGCTGTCACCCAAAGTTGCAGATAGTCTGTTCTTTGGTGGAATAGGCAGTATGAGTTATCCATTACCTATAACACTAACCTTGTTTCAGAACATGTGCAAATACGCATGTAAAGTTTTAGAAAACCCTCTAAAATAACAGTCTACTGGGGTTTACACTACGTATCCTTCTCATCTAGCGGGCACGCATTTCTTCAAATCTTTGGTAATGATGGGGAGGTTCAAGGCCGGAAAACTACATTCGCGACGTTTCTTGGTTGACTGAGCGAAGCCTTGGCGGTACTTGCAATACAATGCTATGGCTGAATGAACATAGCCGTCTCACTCAGAGGCTCACACAAATTACAAGTAAAACAGGACCAGCGTGAATACTCTCTAATTGGGGAACGTATAAAAATAGCAATAAACTTATTTACACCTTTTCAGGTCTATTCTTCACATACCTTTTCTTTAATTCGACATTAAATTATCATTCCCATATTATCACTATTTAACCCGTTCTAGGTTTCCATCACAATAACAGACTACTGTCAATGTACTTCAAGTTTACGACAGTTTGAGCAGTTCGGACACGTGGAAATGTACCTAACATACTGCGTTGGGATCTATCGAGCAACATATTAACATAAGGTTCCACAGTTAACTGGAGTGTGTGAAGCTTGAGTACGGAACTGCTGTGTAGGTGTAAAGAAAGAATGACTGGATGCAGGCTGAGTGAGGGGGGTTGACTGGTTTAGATATGTGTATGAATGGAAGTATGAGTTTGATTGATTTGGGAAAAAATAATTGGTTCAGGCGGCTTTGATTGGAAAAATGTAGTTGAAAATCAGTGAACAGAGTGTTTCAGTGACAGCTGGTTTGTGAGGGGACGGGCTGAAGTGAAGAGTATGTCAGAGCGTGCACGTGTGTGTGTGAGCGTGGATGAGGAGGATGGTGAGTGGGTGGGTGTGGTGTGAGGCGTGGAGTGGTAAAGTTTATCAGTCGGGATGTGTGTGGGTCTGGAATTGTACTCTGGGGGAGGGGTGGGGTTTGTGGATATGGAAGCGTGGTTAGGTTGGGGGTCAGATTGGGCGTGGTGTGAGGTATGTAAGAAGATATTTGTATTGGTTGAATTTTATGCATGTTGAATTTTTTTTTTAAATTTAAAGAATGTTTGGAAATATTTGTAATTTTACACTTAGGTGTCTTTTCGCCCATTAATGGCCCGGTGTGTTGATAATGAATGTATAAGTATTTTTCAAAATAAACTATATTATGTTTAACAGATTAAAGATGAAAATGCAGTAGAGAGGGTTCGGGTGATCCTGGCACAGTCAGCCTGGTAAGGCTCATTATCAGCTCAGGGCCCTTGCCCCCTCTACACGCAGCCCAGACAGCGAATGGGACTTCTCCCAGGAAACGCTGCCTAGTCGAACCCACCAAGAACTTTCCGGAGAATATGAAGGCTCCCCAACACTGCAGCCTTATGCATTTCGTAGAGTGTCAGAAGGGCTGTACTCCCAGTGGAGAACCCGGGCACTCTCCTGATCGGTACCAAGAGATCAGGAGGTACCAAACCAAGGCCACCGAGAACAATGGGGAGCCTGACGACAGTATACTTGGGATGCAAGCGAAACATTTCAAAGGTGAGGTCCGCATATTTATCATGCTTTTCCTTAATCTTGCCAATCACATTGGTGTCAAAAGGGACAGAAAATTCAATGACATAAATAACTTCATTGGCTTTATCAAAAAGCACAAGATCAGGTTTGTTGGAAGGAATTCTTCTGAGGCTGTATATGGGCCTATTCCAGAGAAGTTTGAAAGCATCATTTTCCATGACGCCCTGGACATGTTCAGGGTCGTACCATGGATGGACCTCGGAGTCAAAGCCACAGGCATGTCGGAGACGGTAGCAAAAGCAACGAGCAATGCCATCATGTCGTTTAAGATATGATGTTTGTGCCAAGGAAGGGTATCCACTGACAAGGTGTTGGACGGTCTCCGTGAATTCATTACAAAGTCGACATTTCATATTGATATTTTCTTTAAGAATCACATTTAGGCGATTGCGAGTGGGAAGTGACTGGTCCTGAGCAGCAAAAAGGAAGTTTCACATTTAAGACCAGCCGACTTCATCCAGGCGAAGGAGTCGGTGGGATTGCTATTCTGTTCCACACACTGCATGTACACACGATGCAATGGCTTCTCAGAAAGCTTCTAAAAAGACCGACTCTGGGCAGACTTGGTGAAGAACTTCACCTGGTTTACTCCCATCGCTGTACCGTCCAGCAGTACATCGCCATCAACAAAGTCAACCTCAAATTTCAGATTCTGTCCAACAACCTTGGCACGCTTAAAATAGCTGTGGAATACCTTCCTTTCATCATGAGTCTTCACATGCATCACCAGAGGATCATTCGATAAATAAATAGGCGCAAAAGCACACAGTAAAATTCTGTCATGAAGAGCCTCCACATTAATCAACCCCCCACCTCCAGAATTGATTGGCATATATAAACGGTTACGAGAGGAACGAGGGTGGTGGGCTCTGTTATCAGACATGATCCTTCTGGTCAGGCGGTCAAGACTCTGGATGTCTTTTTCCGTCCAATCAACTACTCCAAAGGAATAGGAGAGGACTGGCACAGCAAAAGTATTGGTGGCTTTGACCTTGTTTCGAGCATTTAGCTCTGAGCTCCAAATTTTCTTTAAACGAGATTTGTACTCGGCCCGAAGTTTTTCTTGAATTTGGGCAATCTGGAGCTTGTCTCGAACTTGCATTCCAAGATAGGTGTAGGCCTAATCTTCCACAAGATGATAAATAACTCCTCCCCCTTGTAACTTGACCGATCCATCATTAATTACCTTGCCACGTTTCAAATGAAGAGTATTACATTTGTC